CTGGTTGGAACACTCGACATATGCACCATCACAGCTGACAGCACTGCTGCTTTCCATTTGCTATTTCAGTTGCTCAGTTTTGTCCTGTACTCCAATAAACTTTATTGTTGGTTACAGGGACTCCAGTGCAAAGCTGTTTTTGGTTTAAGTGGGCTGTTAAGCATCACAACCCCTTAGGCCATGCCTCCCATGGGAGTGTGCTCAAGAATCTATTGGGATGCTGTACGCAGGATACAGAGGAGGGAAGAAATAGAGATGCAATCTATGTAAAAACCTTGAAAAATTGTCCCTTTTTTTTCTTGTTGTATTGCATGTATGACCTGAAGATATTTGGACTTACATTAACTATGTGTGGGGAGATTTTTTTAAGGTAACATTGATTGATGACAGTCCATTACATTTGCATTTGTCAGCTTACAAAGTGAGGCGGTGAGTGTGCCTTAAATATAAAGTTTGTAAGAACGAATACAGCAAATCAGAATGCAGAGAACAATAGGACGCCTAATCCGCATTCATTAACCAACACTGTTTCAAAAAGGAAAGTGAAGGGGGGGTACACACCATCACTGCTGCATTCCACTTCGTACAAACTATGTTGCCTTCATTAATGAACACACTTATCTTCTCAAACCGGCTTGATGGGTCATCAATAAACAACCAAAAACAGCTAAAAACAGTGTTGGGGGTAATTTTTTTGTGTTTGTTTTGTGAAAATGGCTAAATTTAGTGAGATACGAAAAAAATAAATAAAACATAAACGGGAGCAGATTTAGTACATTTCATGAAAATTAAAGCAGTTTAGCGACAGCCTGGTAGAGAGTAGGTTACAGAGACTGCACAACATTATGCAAGCTAAAGCATGACGTCATGCACCAACATTTCCCTTCAGAAACATTTTAGTAGCCTTAATGTATATTTCTCATATAGTTATAATGTTAATGCAACTGTACATTTTTCTAGTGTCCTACAGGCCTAACTCTGAGGAAAAAAGTTAAATCAATACTCTTTAAGTATGCGAGAATTCAGACCCTGACTGCCTAAATACAGAAATAGTTTTAATAAATAAAAACCAAATGGAGGTAAGGTTCCATTAGGTAAGTTAAAAGAGATAAATAAGGTGAAAAAAATGGCTTTGGATGTATTTTTTGATAAATGATGTACTGTATGCAGCAATATCAGTGTAAGAGGATTAAAGCAGATTAATAGATGAGTGATCCATTGATTCAGCTTTATGTCATGCGGCTCATTCTTGATGTAATCCTTTAATTCGACATATCAAGACCTGCATGACTCATGCAGCCTTGTTGTCACATGAGCCTTCACGGATCTAAAGATCGGGTCAGTGCTGCAAACCAAAGTTGAAGTGATCATAAGTTCTTAAATTATTCCGCTTTTCAGATATTTGTCCCAGAAAGTGAGAGTAGTTTTTTTTCTTTGAGCTTACTGATCTCAGTTAACCAAGCTCAGCTGTGACAAACAGATGTAACATATAACCTCTGGTCCCAACACAGCTCTGTGGTCTGAGAAATGTCCACAGTTAGCCCTCTGGGTAGGCTTTCTTACAACACAGAGCCGTGTTCTCTGAGAACATGACCGGTGGAAGGGAAATCTAATTCTGTTTTCCACAGTCCCTTATGACTTAGCTATCAGCTTTCCATGTTATGTTCTTTACAGGAAACATGATAAGGCTTTTAGTCAGATTGTGGACATCGTTTGAGCTGGAGTTGAGCGAAAATGTTCAAATGTAATCTGACATAGTTCTGTGGGGAAAAAAAGAGTAAGTCTTGTGGAAAATGTGTCAACGTTTAAATAATTATATGAGCTTTTTTGACAGTCATGCTGAAAAAATTGTGGGAAAATATTTTATTTACAGGCTAAATGATACATTTGGGATGAGAAATCTAAGTCAGATCTCTAAAGCGTATTTCAATATCATATAAATGAACATATATAAATATAAAAATAAAGCATGCTGCTGTAGGGCTTTGATATCTTGTGAAGTTAGAACAAGCGTGTTGGGAAAAGTGAAAAGAGGGAGCAGTGGTGAAAGTAAGAGTGCAACCACAAAAAATCTTTATGACCAGCAACAAAATGTACCTGTATAAAAAAACCCACATTTGGACAAAACTGTTAAAGCACTTAAACACAACTTAAACTCAAGTAATATCTTGTTTCTTTTTTCTAAGTGGATGTAATCACATATTAATATTTTTTTTCAATATGTGCAAACTAAGACCTTTTCTAGCCTTTATCTGGCTAAAGACATTGGGCCTCATGCAAGAAGCGTTTATACAAACAAATTTGGTGTTTAATGGTTTTTACGACTGATTTAGGAGAAAATGTTGCATAATTTTTCTTCTATATTCTAATTTTCGCACAAATTTTTTTTACGATTGCTCCAGACTTGACGTAGGAGCCTTGCCTCAGCTGTTATCCAAACCAAATTTTTCACTAAATGACCACATTTGTTGTTACTTAGAAGGAATCGTCCATTTTATTAGTCCAGATTGCTAATGACAGAACTATCGGTCCCTACACTTGCAGCTGGCATGTGCAGACGAACAAAAAGAAAAAATAAATCAATTTATTGTCCCACGATGGGGAAATCCGTTCTTTGCATTTTGACCCATCCCTTTGGGGAGCAGTGGGCTGCCATTTTGTGGTGCCAGGGGATTAATCAGGGGTCAAGAGTTTTGCTCAGGAACACAGATTGCCAGCTGTGGGGATCGAACCAGGTACTTGCAACCTTCTCAGAGCACAAGCGCACTGCTCTAACCACTAGGCAAACACTCACTGGCAACTTACATCATAGAGAGCTAATTTAGATCTGGTTACCCAGGGGACACTGGTTTAATTAGTTATAAGTTTGTCAAAAGAAAGAACAGTCCGTGAGCTCTATGTGGGATCAAGCTACTACTGAAATAACATCTGGAACAAAAAATGTATAGAAAATTCAGAGAGAAGGTTCAGTAACGTAACTTGTAAGTATGATTCATTCCACTCCATGGCAGCTCTTTTGTTTTATTCTTACACTAAATGTGGAATGTTTAGGTTTTTCTGGATTCGCCAAATTAGAGTTTCACCATTAATATTATTACGTTTACTGTATGAGAGAGATAGAGAGTGCAATGAAGGGAGCATAGACGTGGTCAGATGTGGTGCTTGTGTATTAAAAGTAGATTTTGCAGAACGTTGTGTCATGTTGGTAGATATAGAACTCTTATTAATCATTTATGTCATATGTTCCACCACCAGTAGTTTTTACTGACCATCTTGATCTTGCTAGATATGCTTTTGACCCCATTTTCTGATCAAATAGTTTTTATTTATACTTCTGTAATTGTGCAACCACATCATTTACAGCTCTTGTGATTGATTCCCCACTGCTTGGCTTATGCTGCTCCTTTAATTCTGCTGCTCATCTCAGAACTCCGACCTCCAAACTGGTAAAGTCTTTCTTCTTTGTCTTCAATGCCATTTTTGTGAATGAACGCCGACTGACAAGCGATGGAAATCATAGCCAAATATTGAATTATCAGGGGGGTAATTATGCAGATTTGCAATTCTCATGAGCTCTCACTCACATATATACAGGTGGACTGCATCACATTTTCGAGGGTAATTTATCAGAGATTAAGAATGTTTGTTATATCTGATGTGGCGCATGGGTAGCTGCTTAATGTAGGAGAAAAAGTAAGAGAAATTTACAAATAAAAATACAAAAATGTTGTTACATGAGGCCCATTGTGTTTTTCATTTGAACTTTGTGTCTATTAATGCAATGGGACGCTTTTTTTTCTCATTTCATTGACATTAGATAGAAATAATCACAAGAGCCTTTTTCACTCACTGTCTGGCTTTAAATCAAACTCAATGATTGTTGTTTTGCCCTAAGATGATTGCAGAAACCTTGTATTTACCAAATGCCAAAATAAAAGAGAGAATCTTAAGAGAAAGTTTTTATTTTTAACTTTCTTCTGGTTTGCTTTTTAAAAATTATTTGAACATTTTTAACAGCATGACTTGATCAAGCTTTTGGGATGTCCTTTTAAGAAACCTCTCACCATAGCTGGGATGTTTAGTAAATATTCCTGGCACAACTGGTGTTGTTGAAAAGTTAGGATCTATGTGTCTAAGTGTGCTTCCAAAATTTTTGTTTTTAAATTTTTTTAAAAGTAAAAATTTAAATTTTAAATTGTCTTCAAAAGGTGTTTTGCTTTTGGCTTTAGGTGGATGAGCACATTGCATAGAAAACACAATCAAAAACAACATTGGGACACAGAACCTACCTCCTCCTGATTTTCCTCTCTCTCTCACTATAATGGCATTTTGCAAATATGAATAATTCTAGCCATCATGCCTGACGAGGAATAGGAAGAGTTTTGTTAACTCTAACGCTGGAAATATCTAAAAGTATTATGTTACATTTACAGAATATATAAATACTGCTCCCAACCGTATGTCATCCAGATTATCAGATTATTTAGCTAAATTCTGGCTAGGAAATTTGTAAATGATGTTGTTAAGCATTACATTTAGAAAAGTTGGCTGTTAAATTCATACATTCATAAAGTTTTTAAACTAAGTGAGCATTCCTGATTTTAGGCATGACTGAAATTGTAGTAAATAGGGTTTTTATTAAGGTGGTTCAACATCAGGTTCCTTCAGCTGAAGATCTTTGGCTTGTTATCTGTCTTTCTATTGGTGGTAGCTCACATTTTTAAAAACAATTCACTGGGGAGTTTTAAGTCTTTACTGGGTCATGCATTACACAGAGCTACAGACAAGGTATTAAGTATAGGACCAACACTGTTATGGTGGAAGGGTGAAAAGGGTGCTTAAGAAGAAGCAGTAAAAGGGGTGGAGCTTGTGGGAGACAAGTGGGTGAGAGAGCAGCGTGGTGACATGAAAAGACAAATGAAGCAAGGCTTACACAGGCAGGGAAGGGCTTGAAATAAAGTGGAACCGACCCTTGCGATGACATGCTGCAGGTGACTCACCATGAATCGTAGGTCATCAAAGCCATTGAGCAGGAACTTGCTCTCGTACTGCGGCAGCCCCACGTGCTCCAGCCACTCTCCAACCGGCTGGTCCAGGGCTTTACCACAGGCCCCATCTGCCGAGAGAGGGAAGCGCTTCAGCAGGGAGAAGCCGTTCAGCCGGTAGCAGCGGCACTCAGAGGACGACACATGGCATTGCCACATCATCCTCGGCCAGCAGAGGCAGAGCCGAGTGCAGCAGCACCAGGCGGGGTGGGGGGGAGACAGGGTCCAGGCTGGGGATGAGGGGCTCCCACTGTACAGGCAGGGGCCCGGCTAACTCAAACACAGGAGTAGAATAGGATTTGCTGCAGGCAACGTTCGGGCCCCTGAAGGGGACTGACTAGACTAATGTTACACCTACTGGTGCTAGTATGACTGACTGAAGGTGTCAGGCGAGGGTGGAGGTAGTGCAGGGAAGGAAGCCCATCTGAAGCTTTGTTTTCCTAATTACATTGGACCGAGCCACTGTGGCATCTTCCAACAAACAAGGTTCACTAAACATTCCTTTAGTGAGCAGATGAGCTAATGTGAAGAAAAAACAAACAACAACAAGTCTCTATCTACGACACAACACTACAAATAAAAAATAGTTTAGGCTGAGGGAAAACAAGGAGCTGACATTTTAATATATAACACATGTTTTACTTGGCTAAAGATCTCCCTTTAGTTTCAAGTATACTAAAATCATTAGGGTGCAACACATATTTCTATATTTAGATCCCCCAAAATAAAGTGGACAGGGTTTTCACCACATACTTGTAAAGCTCTGGCTGAGTCCCATGGCTTCATTGGTCAACCTCTTTGAGAGCTAGGACAAGGCTCATACAATGAAGGTAGCAGCATTCTAAAGTACTGTTGAGGTACTCATGTTATTTTTTTTTAAATCAAGGAAAACACATTTGCTCAAATCATGTTTTGTCCTTACTCCATAGCCACACAAAGTACGATCAGGTAGACATATTGTAAATCCCACAAAGAAACGTTGGATTCCCAGTGTGCTGATTCCAAACTCCTCAATTCATATTCAAATCCAAGAATATATTCCTCACTCCAGGTGAGCTGTGTGGCAAAGAGCTCAATGTCCTTGCTGGTTCCAGTGCTTCCAGTGCAGCTCAGCATTCACACTCCTTCAGAAGGCAGCTGTCTGTGCGGCTCCGCTGGAGAACGTGCTTCTCCTCTCTCAGAGCAGTAAATCCAGGTTCAGATCCAAAGCACAGCAGGTGAGCTCACTCTCCCCCGAAGCGAGGACCACCGTGGGACCACAGTGCATGCTAAGCTAGTTCCTTCCTGAGGTGAGCAACCCCCCACTCTTGCTCCGAGCCCACCAGGTTCTTCTTCTCCACGCTGGGTGCAGCTAGCAGCCTCTGCGCTCAGGGCAGAGGTTTGCTGCATCCCTTGCCTGTCTGAGACATGCAGGCAGTGCTGATGCAGGAACACACACACACACTTACACACACTCGCGCACGCACGCTTACCCCTCAATGCTCACAGGGCATAACGTCCTGACGCTTCCTACTTCAACAGAGAAGACCACAAACCTGCCTGAACCTCAGTCACTGCTGCCACGTCCTTCCAACATCCACGATGAGCAATGCAGCCAGTGATCATCCCTACACAACCACCTTCTTTTCATTCAAGCATATCCCTCAGGCGCTTCTTTAACTCCCCCCCCCTTTCCTTCTGGCGCTCTTCTCTTTTAACGTTCTGTCTTTCGTTCTCATAGCCCCATTGCCATGCTGTGTGATCGCACTGCAGGTCTGCCGTATGCTGCCTGATGAAGTGGGGTGCTGTTCCACGTAACCAGCTCTCTCTCTCTTTCTCTCCCTCTCACTATATCAATTCCCCTCCCTCTGCCTTCCTCTCTTCTACTCTGGCTTGCACTCTCCTTCACTCCGTCTCGCTCTTTGCTTCTCAAATACACAGACAGATGCAAACACACACTCTCGTTTGTTGTAATCTGACTTGCACCAGTTTCTTTCCCCACTTCTTCCAGCTTCTTTCCCTTCGCTGTACTGATTGCAATTGCACACCGCCACTCTGATCTCGTCAACTGAAGGTACAGGTCCAAAATCTTAGGACTTCAATGCTGGGCTGGAACTGAGTAACCCTGATTCTTGCCTCTATTTTTTGGAAGAGAACAGTGAAACAAAAAGTGCTCCTCAATCCACCTCCTTATTACCAGGAGGCTTTATTTCATTTAAATCTTACTTTGATGATAGGGCAAGGGGGGCAGCATTGAATCAAGTCAGCAGAGCCTCTAATGCATTTGTACAAGAGCAGAGAGGAGAGAAGAAAAGAATAAAAAGAGGAAGAAAAACAGACTTGTCTCCCCTCATCTCGCTCAGCCATGTCATATGACAGAAAAGAGGCAGATTCCATTATGTATTTCCAGATGTTCGTGTCACGTCAAACATTTCTGAAGCACAACAGACGCTACTTATAGCAAAAAAAAGTGGGATGAACAAGCAAGATGATATCAAATTCTGATAGATTTGGCGTAACAGAAATAAAAAGACAATTTGACAGACTTCACCAGCTACCGGCAGAGGGGCTGCTCACTCTGTCTAATACCTGTGTTATCAGGATACAACTGCCAGGCAAAGTGTAATTATTCAGGCTCCAAAGCTGCTTGCAATCACCTCACACATTCCCAGTTGGATTGTCAGCAAGTCAGTTAGTCATGGCAATGAGAGGCAGCCAGGAAAAAAAAGGCAGCAAAGGGGCTATTGATTGAAACTCTCTTTGTAATTGGGCACCTAACACAGCGTCACTCAGGCCGTGCAACGCTCAGGTAAAGGCCAGGTCAGCTGTGAGAGACTTGTCAGTCATCTGGGCTTCGTTAGAACCTACAGGGAGAGAAGCCCTAATCAGGAGAAGAATGATGGGAAGAGAGAAGAAGGAAGACGGAGGAGAGAATGAGCCAAGGACAGATAAGACACCGAAAAAAGACTAATGGAGCAGCAGGCGATGAAACATTTGGCTGAGATAAGGATGGTAATAGTATGTGAGAGAACTGAAGCGGACTAATTATGATTCACTAGAACTCCTCTTCCTGCTTTAGGCTTTTCTTCCAAGCTTCACGCTATTGCAGCCTTAAACATCCGGACAAAGCCTGGTTAAAAACATCAGCTGCTACAGTATACCCATTTACTTCCACTCATCCCCTCCCACATTAGATGAACCTAATTACTGACTGACAGAGTATCCACTGCTTGTCCATGGGGGGATATAGGTCCCTGTTTTGTCCCGCAGTTTATTAGGTCAAACTAAAGTAGATTTTTTATTTGCACAATGTAAAGTCTAGCCTTGCCTTAAAGGATCGACAAGAAAGACCTGTGCACAAAAAATGAAAGCAGAGGATGTGCATAGATAAAGCCATGCTCCTTTATCAGAGTGAGAGAAAAGCAGTTGCTCCTTGTCAACACACCCAAGCAGTGGAGAAAATTAGCCGCAAAGCTGATTTAATTCAGGGAAACTGAAGGCGGACGCTTTTCCTTTGAACATCAGCGTGTGCCTGTACACAAACCCAGCCGATTCCTCCTGCTAGCTGTGCCTTCTCTCCTCGTCCTCCCTGTTTGTTAAGCTCATTTACTTCACAGTAGAGGTACTCATAATGGGCAGAAAACACAAACAGTTTCAGGCTTGAGACTGCAATATTGTTTTCTTTTACACCCACCCCACCTAGCCTCTCTTCACAACTCCCTCCTAAAAAAAAACTATATCTATGACAAGAATATGAAAATTTCACCTGTAATTTCTAACATTGATTGGGGAAATTACAGAGATATACATAGTCGATTCTAGAACCTTAAAGGATGGAAGGTTCTGCAGATTGGAAGGATTTCATGTTTTTGAAAACATGTCAGTTTATGTTTTCTTTTTTACAATAGTAAAGAATCAAGAACCTTAATTGTCATTATGAACCCATGATGACATTTTGTCAAACAGTTTGGCTTAGAATAGACATAAGTAGAATACAGGCAAAATGAAAATACTTTTGAGAGGAGTGAACATCTTTGAAGTCTTTAAAAGGTCCTTAAAGGGATTAATGATTAGTTGTTACAGACTTTTTTTTGAGAGTGTTGTTTCAATCTAAATACAATGCAGCAAAAATACTGTAAGCATTTAATTTTATATATATATTGTCACACTGCCATCACCATGCTGTTTATGCTGCAATGCATATACAACAATATATATATACACATATATATATTCATATTCGATGTCAGGAAATCTTTCGAATTTGAAAGAGATGACAGCAGCAATGAACTGGACAAGAGCCCAATGGTATGCAAGATTTACTACGTGGAGGTCAAATATGGGAACCATTAAACGAGACGCCACTCACAAACTGTGTCTGCTTCGAAGCAAATGCAGCTTGAGAAGGCATTTTTGTGAAAGTTACAGGTAAACTCTCTGCGAGCCTAGAAACTTATGAAGGCTGTCGTTACATTTATCTGTAAGAATATCCAACCCTACAGTGTGGTTGAAGACTACGGCTTCTCCAGTCTTATGAAGATTCAAGCTATGTTACGTTTTACCCATCGAATGAAAAAGTTACGTGAAGCGACAATCTCAAACATGTGCAGACGTGAAATATGGCATCACAACATCGCTTAAATCAGCATCGAGAGTCACCCTGGATGTTGGACATCCAGAGCAACGGATTCATGCCTGAGCATCACTGATATTTACATCTACAACGAGTGTAATCTAGTATGTCATTATGATACAGATTTGTTTTGCTACCATTTACATTTGTACAAAAACTTTGTGAGACAGTAGAAGGAAATTGAATGAGTTTTTGAGTTGCCAATGTTTTGTATGCACTGTATTTATGCAACATTTGGTTTGGTTTGAATTTATTTACATTTTTGCATTTTTTTTTTGGTCAGGTCAGGTTGTATAAAAAGTACATGATGAATGAACTGCAGGTGGTTAAATTTTTTATGTTAACATTAATATATTTCCTAAAGTTTCATTAGTTCTTTAGCTAATGCCTTCCATATACAAATAAAATTGTGACACCCATAACAGAATTAAAATCGGCGATTGTGCGGCGCCTGGAGCA